CTCCGCCCCGGCATCTTTTTTTCTTTCTTACCACCCAAGTTCGCGCAAAAAACTCACGCCCCAATTATCCCTTTCCTTGCACAGGCTCTTGGCCGCAGACTATCAGAACAGTACGTGTCTTTCTGCGACGGCGTGGGGTTTTCTGACCGGCTTGGCAGTGTAAACTGTAGATTGATGAGCCCGCAGGGTTTTGCACCCCTATGTTGTATATATGCACACGTACGCAAGCTAACGAATTTTCTTGATTTCCGAGACGGTCTGGCCTTGGAGTTGAATCTTTGAATTTTGTCGGGATAATTTGACCTTCCTCGCCGCTAACCAGCCAGCTGGATCAAGTCATGATTTAATCGAGTCGAAATGAACGGGAACCACCTCGAACGGCAAACCTCTGGTGTCAGTGCCCGAAAATTAAGCTTCCGGTCTTCGCGTCTGCAATTCGATGGCTTCGCGTGGAAACAGAAAACGCAGAGGGACATTTGCAACCTTTTCATTGTTGAAGGTTGAAGTTGGTTCGAACGGGTGTAGGTTTAGGCGGGGTCAAGGTCAAATTGAAATGTCAGCCCTCTCAGCAGCCTCTGTCGGTTCGGGAGTCGGCCCGACTCGTCCATAAAAGCTCCCGTATTCCCCAACCGACCCCGACCCATACCCCCTCCCAAGATGGTTTTGTATACCCATGCAGACATGATCTCTGACGACTACACCGAGGCGTGGCTCACCGGACCCGACTCGACCAAGTTCTACACGCGAACCTACCACGCCGCACCGGGCACCTCCAAGGCCGTCGTCGTCTTCATCCACGGCTTCCAGGAGCACATCGGGCGCTACACCGATGCGCACCCTGAGTATGCCAAGCGGGGGATCAACGTCTTCGCGTTCGACCAACGCGGTTTCGGTCGCACGGCGCTCGATGCGGCGCATAAGAGCGCCGACAGCGTGTACGGGCGGACCCACGGCGAGAAGCAGATGGGTGACGTGCAATGGGCGCTAGGACATGCGGCGGAGGCGTTCCCTGGGCTGCCCTTATTCCTGAGCGGACACTCGATGGGCGGGGGCGAGTCGCTGAACTTCCCGATCCGGCGCACCGACTCGGAGCCGAAGCTGTGCGGGGTCGTCGCGTGTAGTCCGATTGTTCTGCGGACGCCTCCGGCGGCGCCTGTGCCACACTGGAAGGACGGCGACGAGGACAGTATTAACGAGACCGTCCCGGTCAGGGTGGATGGCAGCGTAGGTTTCCTTGATCCTGTTTGTTCTTCTGGGCCTGACGCAGCGACTTTGCGCAGTCCCTGACGCGCGACCCGCGGTTCAACAAGATGTGCACCACGGACCCACTATCCATGCGTCGGGCGTCGACTCGCCACAGGTCCGACATCATCCGTTGGGTGCAGTGTATTTTCTGGTGTTGTGGGCTTGTTCTGACTTTAGTGCGTATAATTTAGGGAGAGGAGTTGCTTGAGGAGAATTACAAGAAGTGGCCGAAAACGTTGCCTGTGCGTGCCGCCCCGTTGCTGCTGACCATCCGTTCATCTCGCGTGCGTGCAGCTCTTGATTGTCCACGGCAGCGGAGACATGGTGAGACTTCTCCGATTCATCTCAACGTTTTCGGTCCTGAAAGCTAAAAATCGACGTGCAGTTGACATCGCACGTTGCCGCACAAGCGCTCTACGACAAACTCGAGTGCGACGACAAGCATATTATTATTTATCCCGTGAGTAGACAAGCATGGCGGTTATCCACGTTTGCTCAATTTTTTTGTTGTCGGTAGGAAGGATACCACGAGCTGGTGCACGAGCTCGAGTACAGGGAGAAGGTGCTGGACGCCATGATTTCGTTTATCGAGCAGCGTATCCCCGTCCCCGAGTAGTCATTTCCAAACCTAAACGATGTACAAGTCAACGAATGTGGTTTTCGGGTTAGGGCAGTTGTAAGATGTTCATGCAGACCAGATACAAGTTCCATCCCAGCCGAATGCGTTGTTCGACTCCGTTAGACTTGACCCTGCAGGCGAGAAAATATGAGAGCATCCATTTCTCGGTGAACGAACTAAAGGAGCCAAGGCAGTTTATGCCCGGTGCACTGTTGCATTCCAACTTGGGTTTCAGCAGCTTAGGCTAACGGGGTTCGACTCCCCGCGTCCGCACTGGTTGTTGGAGCGACTTTTTTATATAAATCCAAAATAATACGCATCGTACGCGTCTCCTCACGAAAGGAGCTGGGCGCGGCAAGCCGATGTTCTGTATGCTACACCACACTGTACTGTAAAGCATGATTTCAACATATAATGGTCAAGAGTGTTCCTCAGGAGTCTACTGCAACGCGCGGTGTATTCTTCTCCAACCCTTAACTTGCACCGAAAAGATACCAGTCAGCGGTCACAGTACACAGCTGTACAGCTGTCCGTGCTGCGGAACGTATTACATCTCGACTCCCTGTGTCCGTGTCCTCTGGCCAGTATCGTTTTTGTACCTTACAGACCTGAATCCAAAGATGATCGAGAAGAAAGTGATCATGAGGAGGAGAACGGCGTTGCCAACTGAATTCTGAATTTGCGAATGAATTAATTTTTCTCACGGTTCGAACAAGAAGTTGCGGAATGCATTCTCAAAAGGTTGAATCCAAATTCATCTGTCTTCTCAGTGAAAAAAATTAAAGAAGAAAGCGGAAGCCGTGCATAGTACACAGCTGCCAAACCTGATCGAGGCCTGTTCAAATATTTTTGCCATATGGAAGTGCAAGTGCGAGGTTACGAAGAGAAACAAGCGGGTAATTTTACTGGGATTTATGGATGTCATCCATGCTTAACATCCATCAGTTGCTGACTTGCGCGAGCGTCCACCCGTGGGCGGTAGTGAAGACCGCCTCGCTGAGTGCCCCCGGGGCGCCTGCACTGACGAAGCCCACTCGGATGAACGCCGGCTCGTTTGGCCCGTTGTTCGCAAGGGCGTACAACACGCTGTTACCCGGCTGCACCGCGAAGCGGTTTCTGTCAATGCACGTCGTGCAGTTTGGTCCACCAATCCACGCGCCACCCGGGTTGATGTACTCGCTGAGGATATTGTCGGGGGAGACAAAGTAGACGTGGGTCTGGTGGCGCATGAGTGAGCTGACCACGTACAACAGGGCGAAAGGAAAGGCGCACGCCAGTAAAGTCGACGCCGTCGGTTATGACCGCAGCGATGAGGGTGCGGGGCTGGACTTGCGCGGCCGGGATGAGCGTCTGCAGGGAGAACGCCTTGCCGACCGTGGCCGGGCCGGTGAAGGCAAGCTCGAGGATGCCGCCGCTTACGTCCGCCTGGTAGTAGATCCGTGTGTCCTCGCCGAACGCTGGTGCCTGGATCGCTGCTGCGTTGCCGGCAAAGTTCACCGGAACAATTGTGTTGGCAACCGGGGGCGTGATGGCCAATGCGCCGAGGGCCATGCCGACTGAGATAAGTGCCTGCGGATCAACGGGAAGTCAGACCACTGGCGAGTGAACGAAGGAGCAGCCTACAGAGACGAGCTGAAGAGGGAACATGGTATTTGCTGACATTGGGGCGAACAAAAATGTAGGCTTTATAGTGTGCTTGGTGCGGCAAGACGGTAAGAATTCGAAGACCTGAACCCTGAACCCCACGTCTGTCCGGTTCAGGGCGAACAACCACGTCAATGCCAATTATTATGGTACGCGAGCGTAGGCGAGCGCGGAAGCGGTTCACTTACCAATGAACCCTTCTTTCCCAGCGGCCATTTGTCCCACATTTGTCCGGCGCCCGCGCAAAGTCCAGTATTCTCTGTCAATACACACCCCGGCCTCCATACGCACGGACCACCGTTCCGACAAGAGCTACAGTCGAAGCCTTCCTCTCAACCCTTCTTCTCGCACGATCGCGACGCACGTGTGATTTTTCGAAAGATTTCAATGGATCTGTGTGGAATGTATAGAATGTAAAGCTCGATCAAGGAAGAAAGTGATTTCCTAGTTAAGGGTTCACAACAGGATCGTACCTTTGCACAGAACTCAATTCATGCTTGTGCCACCGAGGTAAGTTCTCGTTCGCATGGTCATCTGGGGTCAGTGCATTGGATCCAATCGCAGTGCGGTGAATTGGGGAGGACGGTGATGGTTTTTTCCACATCTGCGTAGCACCGATGTGAGGTACGCGAGGGAGCTCAACAAAGTTGATTCTCGGGATATGGGAAGCGGTCCAACCGGTTGACACAGCCTCCATTGCTGTTGTCTGCTGTTGTTTCAACACGCCGATACAGTGTGTGGTCCATCAATTACGACACGCTCTTTACGCTGCCCTTCGTTGCGCACCACCGCAGTCACGAACACAAGCGAAGCAAAGCTCGTACCAGCGCTACACGCCGCGCATCTAAGCCGCACTCTTGAATAAAAAGCTTTTCGTTCCATGGCACGCCCACTGCCCGCCTCGGCGGCCTCGCCTGCCGACGCCTACACCTACAGCGCATCCTTGGCTCCTTCGCCCGCGTCCTCATCCCCACCCTGTCCTGCTTAGACTCCACACCCTATGTACCTAATGCTGCCTTTCGACCCCACCGCCCCCCCACGCGCCTCAGCAATCCCATCACCTCTTTCCTTCCTCTCCATCCCATCCCATCCCTTCTCCCTCGCTCAGCGCTTGAATGTTACGCGATGCGTTCAAGCCAATTCCAATGCGAGCTCGCGCGCTTGCAGCGTGTTGAGGATTTGAGCGCGCAGAAACGACCAGTCGAGGCGAGGGTCGACAAGTCGACCTGGGCGAGTGCTTGATAGCTGCTTTATGGAGAGCGAAGCTGTCGAGCTGAAATTTGGTTGAGATATACAATTGCAAAACGGACGTTGTGCACGGGCACTGCTGCAATCAACGCGTCAGTTGTTTCTGCAGTTGGTCGGGGTTCGACTCCCTGCGTCCGTATATGCATAATGCTCGTTTCTTTTTGGTACTACTGTATTACTATACATACCTATTGGTGACGGAAAAAACCAAGCCGTTTTGCTCGTAATGAAACAGTAGAGGAAAGCGGACGTGGTGCGCGGTGCACACAACTGCGATTCATACGGCAACCAGTTGTAGATCGCAGCAGTTGATGGGGTTCGATTCCCCACGTCTGCATATTTGTACCTGGCAATTTTTTTTAAAAATTACTGGGTTCATTATCCAGAAATTGTATTGCACGGAAGAGCAGGCTACCACACGACAGCTTTGGACTAGAAGCCTGAGGCCTGGGGCTGGAAACATCCGAACATCGATCAATTCAACATTGACTCTTTTCAAGATCCCAGCTACATGCGATTCAACCACTGAAGCGACAGCTCTGAAGAAAAGCCTAGTCGATGTTATGCATCGATAAATACACGGGGAAGCGGAACTGTATGAGACACAACCGCGGTTCCATACTGCAGTTGTTCGGGGTTCGATTCCCTGCGTCCGCTATTGCAGGAAATAGGTTTCTTTTTTTGAGCTGCGCGGCGTTCACTTGAATGGTGAATCCAATTCCGATGCATGGTGGAAGAAAATTAAAACAGGGAAGCGGAGGTGGTATACAGCGCACCGCCGCGGGGCGGAGACCAATCCAGTAGTTCAGGTCGAGGTTCGCTTCCGCGCGTCCGCATCCCAAGTGGGCATGTTTTGGTCCTGGGGATAAAGATCCATTAATGCACGCTGGAAGCGAAACTACTGAACCCAAACCACCTCAGCCTTGGCGGGCGATGGCTCCCTGGACCGCGGTCCCGGATACAAATTTCATCCTATTCCCCGACCAAGCGCTTCACAGGTTAGGCTGATAGTGAACGAGACAAGAGGAAAAGCGGACGTGGTGCACGGCGCACCGCTGCAAAGGAATATGTTTCAGCAGCTAACGGGGTTCGACTCCCCGCGTCCGCATTTGGTCTTTGCGTATTTGCTTTTTCCACCTCAGTCCAAACAACACGTCGTTTCCTAACGAGCAAAAGAAATTGCGCACCGCAGCCCCATGTTCTGTATGCTATACCGCTACCATACTGGACTGTAATTAAAGCACGAGTCAAGTTTCAACATCTGCTGTCAACTTTATGTCCGTCGCAATTCCGCGTCGATATATCCTTCTCACAGCTTTGATTTAGGCGAAATCCACACAGATAAGCCGACGCGGTACACGGTGTGCAGCTGCTGGAGCTTAGTGCGTCTCACCATCTGCCATTGCAGCAGCAGATAGGGCTCGACTCTCTGTGTCCACTCTGACGATTCCATTGTTGTTTTTTTGAACCCAAAGAATATATCGAGGAGGGACGTAACGAGGAGTAGGAAGAGGAGAATGAAATCGAGGGAAGCCCATGCATACTTGCCCATGACGCTGCTGCCTATCTGAATCCAGAATATTATTTCCCGAACGATTTTCTCACGGTTCGAACGGTGAACTGGTGAAGAACCTGAGAGAGGGTCTCGCAGGTTGAACCAAATTCATCGGTCTTCGAAGTGGATAAAAGTAGGGAAGAAAGTGGACGTCGTGCACGGTGCACAACTGCGAAGCCTGCTTGATCCGTGCTCTGTACACGTACTATATTGCAGCCTCGGGGGTTCGACTCCTCCCGTCCGCCTACTTTGGAAGAGCCCCGTCTCTCTTTTTCACTCCGATTGGGTCAGAATTCTGGCAATGATATCATCGATCTTCGTGGTGAATAAACCAAGAGATCATTAAAGCTTTGCGGAAGCTCCCAGGGAGGAGGACCAGCCTTGATCGGACCGATCACATGTTTGTTTTCACGCGGTTCAAATTCAAAATCATTGAGAAATGCAAATAAAATTCAGTAGCCCGGAAGGATTGCACACAAGAGATTTTTCATGGTATTCGAACCTCAAGGTTTCGATACAACGGATCATTCACGATGGATGTAACTAAACAAAAGAGAGTAATTTGACCAGACGAGAATGTAGCACACGAGTAGCAGTCAGGTAACGGATTTTGATCATGCCTAGAGATTTTGATTCATCAGCTCAGTACGCAAAATTCAGGATGGAGAAACTTACAACGGGCGTAGGAGCAGCACGCTTGGCGTTGTGGATGATCCAGTTGTCGTTGCCCGAATCCACCTATATTACAAGTCAGGGCCAGAAATTTTCCTCAAGATGTAGAGACCCACCAGCTCGGCACTCGGCTCCGCACGGGCCTTCCTTCCTATGAGTCTAAAATGCGGACAGAAGGCAGTATGCTCACCTCATTGTTCCCAATAGTCCACGAGGTGTTGCTATCGTCGATCTGGGTTGATAGTCAGAGAAGAGCAATACGACTTGGTTGTATTAGCCTCACAGGAGCTGCCCGAGCCTGACTCTGAGTGAGCGAAAGTGACATGTAGAGTCGGCGGCAAAACTTACAACAGGAGTGGCGCGCGCCTCGTTGATCTTCCAGCTATTCCAGGAGTGAGTGTTGTGTGGAACATTGGATACAAGACTCACCTGGTGTTGGCCTCGTCCACCTGGATTAACAGTAAAGTCAGAGAATATAAGGTGTCTCATTGTGCGATCTCACAGCGGGTGCACGGGCCTGGCCGTGTATGAGCAAAGGTGGTATGTAGAGTCGGCAGGGATGCTCACCTCATTGTTGCCGATAGTCCAGGAGGTGTTGTTATCGTCGATCTGAGTTGACAGTCAGAGAAGAGCAATACGGCGTGATTATATTGTTCAGCCTCACAGGAGCTGCCCGAGCCTGACTCTGAGTGGGCAAAAGTGAAATATAGAGTTGGCGGCAAAACTTACAACAGGAGTGGCGCGCGCCTCGTTGATCTTCCAGCTGGTGTTGGCCTCATCCACCTAGGTTAACAGTCAAGTCAGAGGAATAAAGCGTGGTGTTATTGTATGATCTCACAGCACGGCGCAGGGGCTTCGTTCTTGTCAGTATAAAGTGTGCATAAATAACAGGCATGCTCACATCCTTGCCAATGGTCCAGCTGCTGTTGGCCTCGTCGAGCTGTGGTGAGAGTAGGGTCAGAGGATTGAAGCGAGGTGGTGTTATGCCGTCTCACTTCGGGTGCACGGGCCTGGCTGGGAGTGAGAAAAAGTGACATTCGGAGCCGACGTTACAACTTACCACAGGAGTGGCGCGCGCTTCGTTGATTTTCCAGCTATGCCGGAGGTCGGTATTGCGCAGAACCTTCAGCACAAAACTTACCTGGTATTGGATTGGTCTACATCTCCGGTGGCACGGGCGTTGTGGATCTCCCAGCTACGCCAGAAGTTGGTAAACATCCGGAACAGATAATAGGAATAGTTGCCTGTTGTTAGCTTCGTCGATTGCGTCGGGAGTTTGCACAGCACGACGGGCCTTTGCCAGTGTCAGTCGAAAATGCAAACAGAACGGTGGCATGCTTACGTTGCCAATAGTCCACTTGCTGTTGTCTTCGTCAACCTAGGTCGAGAGTTAAGTAAGAGAAATAAGGCGTGGTGGAACTGTGTTGTCTTACGGCACGGGCCTAATTGAAAATGAGCAAAAGTTATATGTAGGGTCGGCGGCGAAACTTACGACAGGAGTGGCGCGCGCCTCGTTGATCTTCCAGCTGGTGTTGGCCTCATCCACCTAGGTTAACAGTCAAGTTAGATAAAATGCGGTGTGGTTTATTGTGCGATCTTACAGCACGGCGCAGGGGCTTCGTTCTTGTCAGTATAAAGTGTGCATAAAAAACAAGCATGCTCACATCCTTGCCAATGGTCCAGCTGCTGTTGGCCTCGTCGAGCTGGGTTGACAGTTAGATAAGGGTAATACGGCGTGGTGGTATTTTGCCATCTCACAGCAGGTGCCCGAGCCTGGTTGTGGATGAGCAACAGTGATATGTAGAGTCGCCGGTGAAACTTACAACAGGAGTGGCGCGGGCTTCTTCGATCTTCCAGCTGTCCAGAGAGTGAGTATTGCGTAGAAATCAAACCACAATAATTACCTGGTGTTGGATTCGTCTACGTCCCTGGCCTAAAAAACTCACGATCAGAATTCATACATCCCGTACACCAACTCTGGACTCACGACTGGGCCGGCGGCCACGACGACGGCGAGTACGAACGCAAGAAGAGCGGAGAGCTTGATGTTGAACATTATGAATGAGCGATGAGAAGTTAGAATCGGAGGAGAAGACTCTGGAGTATTTGCCGGAACCTTGTGTTCTTTTATAGGCTGGAGGTTAGCCAATCCACTGGGGATAAAAGGTACCTCGGAATGTGTCAATGGAAAGCTTTGATTGAGATGCACGCGGCGAGCCCTGGTGGAGTCCTTTCGAATCAGGTAGGCAGACCCTCTTTCCCACAGTTTGAACTTGAATGTCCAAAAGGGGGTGATAAATAGATTTTTTGACTCGGGTAACGTACATATCGCAGATATGTCGAATCGTCGATAGTCGATTGTTCCTCTTGTCCCGACCCTGGTCAACTCCGGAGGGACCTCAATTCAATTCGCGTGGGTCGCGCGGTGCCGGGTGGGATAGCGCCAAGTTGAGATGTGAATGAACAAACGGCAAGACTCGGGCCGTGATAAGGGTGGATGGTACGAGGCTGCGAGTAACAGGTCAGTAAGAGAATGACTGGATGGCGCAGATACCCTGAGCACGCCTCGCACTGTGTATCACTTCACTCTGAATCCCCTGGGCAGCCTGGGCCGCCGGGCTCATATGCATTGAAAAGATATAATAATAAAGGCCTGGATGGCGAAAACCAATTGGGTCCGAACCAAGTCCGAACCTTCAACGTGTTGCTGATATCAAACGGACGCCGGGCCCTCTCTTGCTCGCTCGCTATAATCGACCTTGCCGCTGCCCAATGTTGACAGCACTGTCGAAATGGACGCCTGGCGCTATAATCGGCGGAGTCCTTGCCGCTGCCTAATGTTGACGGCACTGTCGAAATGGACGCCGGGCGCTACAACCTACTACGGCAATCCAATCTCTTCTCTAAATTTTGACACGCGACGGCCCGCGTACTAATTCCACAAGGAACGATCAAAGACGCCATTCCTCACGAGTTTAAACCAATGGTCAAACAGTGGAAATAACAAGCATTCCCGGCATTAAATCGTTTCCTCTACCTCGGCCATGTCAAAAGAGCAAGAATACTTATCATTCACTTATGAGCGATCCGGCGGAGCCTGAACAAGAATC